ATATTATAATGGATTTTAACAAATTATCATGAACTTTATTTACTGTATTTTGTAGTAAACAATATTTAAATATTTTACTTCCACTTTCACATTTCAGACTATGGAATCTCTACAGGTATTTTAAACTTAAGTCATTTTTAAACAAGAATAATTGGTCTGTTTTAACCTTTTAAATTCAACTTAAATCAACTTTTATACTATAAACTATTTTAATATAATTTATTATTTTTAGCTAATAATAATAATAGAAACTTAAATGTAACCACTTAATAATGGTCCAATTAATACAGTCCAATTAGTGCAGATAAAATTTTAATTTAGAATTAGACCGTTTAAGGAGTTACGCACAGACTTGAATGCCTCTTGAAGCCATATTTAGATCACTCGCATTTACGCTCTATTTCGACCCCGCGCCACATATAATGAAATAAAACAATCAGGGCCAGATTAATGCTCACCAGTGGTCCGTGTGGGTCGAATCTTGTCCTATATGGCTGTTTTTACGGGCTTTGTTTCACACTATCTCGGTGCGACGATGTGATGGAGTTTCTCTGAGCACACGCTCTAATTAGGTAAATAGAAGCACCTGAACCTGTGCGCTACAATGACGCACACGCTCCCTCAATGCGCGCTCTCGCCGGGTGCACACTACTGTACACTGATCCCCGCAACACTCTTTCTTGGTCAAATAGCCCTTACACAGCCTGGGTGTGAATCTACAGTCAATAGTCATGAAAAGAAAGGACACTCATTGAATGAGAAAGTGTCAAACTTTTGGTCTGTACTGTACTTATAAGTTGAGAGGTGTAAATGTGATAATGGCTGAGATTGTGTGTGTTAAAGCAGTTGGTCTAATAGAGCTAACCCACAGACATCAGCTATACAAGAGTTTACATTTATCATTGCTCTCATCAAAGTGCTGAACAAAATAAAATAGAGATAGTCACACAAGGCATTAAAATCATAAACAATCACCGTACATTAAAAATAGTACGGTGTGCATACACTGTGCAAACAATCCCTCAGTTGTATGCACAGCTAAACAGAACTTTTTTTAACCTGGTTTTAAACATTGTCAGAGAGGAGGCCTGTCTCACATCTTCAGGAAGACTGTTCCAGATTTTAGAAGCATCAATCTGAAATGTTGCCTCCCCATGTTTAGTTCTAAAGCCTGGTTCACACGGCAGGATATTTAGGCCGATTTAGACCCCGATTTACCCCTTACGACAATTTTAAGAAACGCTCCGATTTCCGTAACAAAATCTTACAGATTATCCTGCCGTGTGTGGTGTGTTAAGACTGCACTCGTCGCTCGGAAGGACATCGGGACTGCTCCCGATCTCAAATCGGGGATATCCAACATGTTGGATTGTTTTGGCCCGATTTCTGGTCGTGTGTGGTGTCCTCCGAGGACAAGCGAGCGCGTTGCCATGACTACGGCGTGTAGCCAATAAGAAGACGAGGTGACAAGCCGGTGAGGAAACACCGGAAAAAAACCAAAACACAGCAGCATGGCTTTGACCATTGCCTTTTCTTTGGATTACGTGTCTTCTCTGTTAACAACAAACTGCACACTATCGCCACTGCATCCTCTTCGTCCGCCATGACTGTTTACTCTGAAGTCACGCTTGATCTCGAGAGATTTTGTGAGATTTCCGTCTGACCTGGGAATGCTCGGGGGGGGGGGGGGGGGGACGGAGAAATCGGTTCGTGTGTGATGTTTGTGGCTTGCGTGATCTTGCCGTGTGGCTACGCACCACACACTGCACGACCAAAGTGGTTAGACGCAGGATTTTTAATCTCCCCGTGTGGGGTCTAACACGGAGAAAAATCGGCCGACAATTTTAAAATCGTCTCGTGTGAACCAGGCTTTAGTTTAGTACTTTGGTGCGAGACCATGAGGAGGGACTTGTACACAAGCAGAGCTTGTACCAACAGTGGAAGTACATGTACCGATGCTTCATGATGATTCATTGAACTCTATGACGCCATTGAGAGAAGAAAAAATACAATTGGTCCATTTCAATACAGCACCAGTGTTGTAATGAAAATCACACAGTTGTACATGTGGTGATAGGACCGCCACAAAACTCAAAATTAGAAAGGAATGTGCTCTAATAAAAAACTGTCTCCACAGTTGCAGTTCCATTTTTTGTGAGGATTTCTCCTGCTTTAGCAACAAAACTTCACCTGTAGCAACACACACAAGCTTGAAAAGGTTTATAATTTGTGACCCTCTTGTGTGACTATATGAGCTTCAATAGGGAATCTCTCCATTGTGAATTTAATAAAAATCTTATTTAATAATTCTTATAAAACAAACCTTATTGGCAGTAATAAATATTCCCAAACCGGGGAATACGTTCTCTTTTTTGCCTGTTCCATCATCAAGTTTTATAAAGTACCAAACCAATTAAATCAATCAAATGTTTAAAAAAATATTAAAACTTAAGTCACTGAAGTCCAATAAAATGTATCTTATCTGAAGACATCATGCCCTCTATTTTCTGAGGTATCTGCCAGTGTTAGCCTGCCGTTTTGGCCTGAAATGGGGAAAACTGGGGGGTATTAACTGTTCTACGTAACACCTGGTTAAACTCAACTTATCTTTGTAGATATCGTTATCAACTTGGTGGTTGGACTTTTCCTCAGCCCTCCGGCACTTTCTCTTCTGTGCCCTGACCACTTTGTGCCCGCTTTTGGCCAGGAATATAATCATTTGTTTGTACTCCAAAGGGTTCTGATTCAATTTAAAGTGGACATATCGTGTTTTAAAATAATTGATTTTTACATCTAAATCATTAATTTGTGGCCTATATAAAGCGTAACTGCAATGCCTGGGTCTGAGTCTCATTATTTGTAGCTCCACGGGCCTTTCTTCTACACCTGTTCTGAGGTGCGTCTGAGAGCAACCTGTTTTGGTACTGTCTCTTTAAATGCAAACGAGGCGCTTTTGACCACGCCCCCATCCAGGTGACACAGGTTCAACTCCACCCCGAGCGGCCATTTTTGTAGTTACTAAGCACAAATACAATTATCTCATAGAAACTTCTCATTACATCGCAAACATGAAGCAGGCCTTCCTCATTGACTGAAAGCAAATGTTAAGTTTCATTCTTAGTCCAGTCTTATTATCGACTGGCCCCCCAAAATAATAACCAAGAAGACAACATTAAGAATAGGCTCTTCTGGTTATTTTATTTTGGGGAAATAGCCTCTGCTACAAACATTGTAATACAAAAATGATTACAGTGGATTATTCAAGTCAAATAATGAACACAAATATTTTAATATTACAAACAAAACATTATAAATTTAACATTAAATAATAATATATTATTATTATTTTTTTTTATGACCTCCCGCGGCCCCCCTGCAGTACCCTCGCGGCCCACCAGGGGGCCGCGGACCCCACTTTGGGAGACACTGCTGTAGAGGATCAGGATATGTGCAGTTTCAACAATAAAATAAAATGCAATAGTCTGCATTACAAGAGAGAATAAACATGTCTCAGAGTGAGGGAGGTGGACACAGACAACACTATTGTTTGTTACAGGGATGAGAATTGGTCAAAAAAGACTGAAATGCATATTGTCAGCCATTTTCTGGCTCTAAATCTGTTTAATTTGTTCACAACATATTACTTTTGGGCTCAAACATGAACTTTTTATTCAATGCAAAATGTAGGTATCAGAGCTTTATTTAGGGCGTTTAATCGCGCTTCGAGAGGGGAGGGGAGACGCGGACTGTTTCCTGCAGCAGTGTATTTATTGGGTGCACAGATTACTCAAAGACACGCATGGTCCTGTGCGCGTTTATAGGGTTGGGTACATGGCCACGTTGAGGCTGCGCGCTCAGCCACAACACGGTTGAGCGGCTGCGAGCGGCTGGACGCTCACAGCCTCTCGCAGCCGCTGGACGCGGAAGCTGCTCTTTACAAAGCGGCCGCAGATGCCCCGGAACACTGCGACCGCTGAGGTGGCGGAATCCCGTTCGAGTACATACAGCAGGTGCCCCGCGGATACGCGCGCCCCGCTCAAAAAATTCTCAACGGATTTACACTTCTCATAAACATGTGTTTTGTATGAGGCAGACAGACCGGCCCAAATATGAGCATCGGCCCTTTGGGCATTGCCCGATACGCCCGATGACCAGTCCAGCCCTGTTCGCTGGCATCCTTGAGCTTGGACTACAAATTCGAAGTGATGCACAGTGGAGGAGGGCTGGGCCGAAGTGTTTTGTTAGACGCCCATTCCCTTATATAGCAGTCTCGCTGCAAATACTGTGACGTAATAATTCTAAACACGTAATAGAGAATGGCAAAATCAGAACGGGTTGAAAAATCTTACCTAAACAGAATATGAAGTGTTCTCTGCAACCCATGAAGAGACTGATTTCAACTTTTTTGCACTTCTAGAGGCTCCAACTACACAACATAAGGCATTTAAGGCACAAAAAGTGGATTTTTCATGATATGTCCCCTTTAAATTTTACCGATACTTTTGAGACTTTTTAGAGAAACAGTCTGGCCCCAAATTAAAAAGAATGAAAACTAGATGTATTTCAATCTTCTCCTGTCTCATGTTGTTTTTGTCCCCTTCTGTCTTCCAGGTCTTCTTAGCGACCTTGAGAGCCGTTTTTGCATTTGCAGCTCTTCCATTTTCGGCAAAATCACAAAGAATTGACGATAACTGCTAACCCGCTACATAAACAAACAGATCATTTTTAGAAGAAAAGAATGGCACCACACCTGTTTAAATTAAGTTTCTACAGCAGGTGGATTGCATCTATAAAAAGAGCCTAGTGTCACATGCAGAAGATTCTGGATTGTAATTGTAATGACTATTTGACCAGTCTAAGTGCACATTACATACTGTCCCTTTAATCAATTACGTATTCCACTTTTTTGATAACATTAACATAATTGGTGTTCATTTCCCATTTGTCTTCAACTTGTTTTAACTACGTCTCTCTTCTCCCTTTCCCACCCCTGTGTGCAGATCCCCTCCGCCGTGCAGCTAATGGAGGCTGTGCGCGTGAAGATGAAGGAGAGGAAAGTGCTGACAGAAGAGCTGGCCGCTCTCGCCACACCAGTCAGCGGAAAAGCCTGACTCCCTGGACTGAGACTGGGAGAACTGTCATCCACTCCTCTTAGCCCAGCTCGGCTCTGTGGGGGCCAGGCTGAGCCAAGCTGGGCCGGGGCAGCACCACCAATATTGGAAAAGGCGGTGTTCTGAAGGCTCTGTGCAGCAGCCGTTGTTTTGTAAATGAGCCCTGGACATCTGTGTTGTGCACTGTGGATTTACTGCACAGCCACCTTCAACACCTCTGTGCTCAAACCAGGGGCCAAAAGACACATGCTTACACTGATAATAAAGCCTTTTTACTTACTTTTAATTTAGCTGGCACCTCGAGGAGTGTGAGGTTCTGGCAGCTGACCCTCGCAATACCTCATCAACACTTTGTGAAAGCCAAAGCCAGTTCAAGTGACGGAACTCATGTGATCAAGTCTGTGAGTGCAGCTATTTATTGCTAAAATAAAGAACTCTTTATAAATCTTAGAAATCTTTTTTAAAACTTGTTTTGTTTTCTTCAAATCGTTAAACAGAGAGCAATCTTTTGAACAGATGTATCAACCACAACATTTTGTCAACTGCTCTGCGGCCAAAACCCAGGACAATGATGCGTTGCTCAAAGCCTGTCTGAAATGAAGAAGTCTGTTTTTGTTGGCCGGATGTGTGTTTTCACAAAGTGATAGATATAGTTCTAGGACCATTAGCTGGAAACTCATTTTCTCACCTCCCACTGAGGAAGGATCAGACAAATTTGCTTTTTTACATGAAGTGATTAGTCCACATTTTCCACTCATCGGTATGCCAATTAATTTGGACGATTTTGAAGTATATGTTGTTCCACAATCCACACATCTATTATTGACAACTCTTAAAAGTCTACAAAAGATTATATAGAGCACTTTCCACACGCTCTGGCTCCAAGTACACAGTTCATAACAAGAAAAACATAATCACAAAAGGCATTTAAAACTCCAAATTATCATGGTGCATTAAAAAGGGTGAAGATACAATCGCTCAGCTGTATGCACAGCTAATCAAAACAGTTTCATTTGTTTTATTTAACATTGACAGAGTAGAAGCCTGACTTACATTTTCTGGAAGACTGTTTTAGCTACATCAATCTGAAAGGCTGCCTGTTTGAGTCCAGTCCCTGTGCTCCTCGGAGTCGGGACTGGTTCATATGGCACTAACATGTCACTAATAGACTTGTACACAAGCAGAGCTGTTTTAAAGTCTATTCTCTGAGCCACAGGAGGCCAGTGCAGAGACCTGAGAACTAATTTTCCGCTCTTAAAGCTTGGAACTGAATTTTAGAATTCAGTGGCTAATAAACAATCATTTTTACGGGCTATTTCAGTTCCACCAAATGCAAATTGGTATTTCCATGTCTGATTTAAAATCCAAGATAAAGGATTTTTGAATATACAGGTGAATTTTTCAAAAGTTTTTTTCTGTAATTTAATTAAAAATGTGAAACCAATTCATGATATTGACCTATTCAAAGTGACATATGCCAAACCTACAACTATTCTCGATAGCTTGAAATGTTGCATTTAGAGTTGTTGCATGCTGTGAGCCAATTATCAACAATATAACTAATATAGACTTGATATGGACTTTTGAACAATATTCTATATATCTAACTTACATACATTATCTTTTAGGGAGTGAAATAATTGGCCCGAATCCTAATCAGTCCTTCCTTGTAAAAAATCAAACTGCCTTTGCATAGCAATCAACTTTTTGTTAGTTTGTTTTGTCTTTTTGGTCTTGTTGACAGCCTGATGCCAGAAGTTCAAAAGCCTGTCAGTCACCCTTCCCTGCCACCCGTGGACTCCCCTATATGGCCAGCAGGAAGCCCCAGCCTCTCCCATGATTGGCAGCTGACTGTTGCCGTGGTTTCTGTCGGTAACAAGTGACCCCTGCTGTTGACATCATTAACAAGCGTACACACGCTCACACCGTGCGCACATTCACACACACACTCAACGCATGCACTTACACACACAGCGCACATACAGAAAAAAAATACACACACTGAGCACACCCTTACACACACACACACACACACTCACCGTGCACTGTGCTCATAAGCAGTGGCTCCTTCCTTGACACTTCTTCCACCTCCTTTTATCTCTCTTCCTGTCTTATTACTCACTTTGAATATTTAACTGATCCTCTGTCCTTGAGTTCCACAAGAGACCCCACATATCCTTTTCCTTTTTTTTTTTTTACCTCTTCCCGCTTTTGTTTTCTGCTGTTATTATGTATAATTAACAATGCCGCAATAGGACTGCTCCGTTCAGGAATTAAGCAAGCTTTCTAATCCCCCTCCCGTTCTCAAATATATGCTAATGATGTCGTTTTCCTTTATCTTTTTATAATAAAGGATTAAGCCAGGACTGTCTCTCTCGCTGCAACTCGGGGACCAATTTAGCCGCGATCCAGGAGAGCCGAACCCCAGTGGTTAATTACCATTCATTAACATAGTTTGCATTTTTTTTTTTCTTCTTCTTCCCCTCCCAATACCCAAGAGCCAGCTATTGTCAATATTTGTCCCATATAAAAATTCTGCTTTTCCCCTCCTTTTAATTTCTCTTTGCAGTCGCTGTCCTCCAGCGGAATACAACTGATGACATAAATAAGGATGAGAGATCTGCCGGGGCTGTGGGTAAACCAAAGAAATGGTGAGAAAGACCCCTCCCTTATCTGTCTGCGTCTCCTTCTAATGCGTAGTTCCGGGCTTGACACATGCATTTAACTCAAGTTCAGTGACATATTCAAATTGAGTTGCCGCCGTTGGCTGGGGTTCCCAAGAGTTTAATTAACCTGGTCTTTCCTAGGACACTCCCTCCTTCAAACAATAGCCCTCTCCATTTCACCACAAGATAATCCATTCTTCTGTCTGAGCAGCAGTGGCATTCCTGTCTTGTCTTTTCCGCACTTGTTCCTGTACAGCTCTCATTATCCCAGCTTTCCCTCTGGAGCCACTTTGATCCCAAGTTCCAAACGCAGACTTCTCTCTTTCAATCCAATAAAACCTCATTGGGTGCCATCTGATTTTTTCTTGTGTAGATGGTTCTTTGTGGGATAAGGTCAGGAGTTGATTTAGGGTCTGATCGATGATGTAAGCACGCCCCAAGGCTTCTCCCTCGTCGTGCGGTCAACTGCACACGGGACAGAAGATTAGAGTGGCCACAGGTGCAATATTTTTAATGTGCAATACATACCAAAATAGATATTTTTGAATCTTTTTCAGTAACATCACATACATATTAGAGGTTGATAGATTATAGGCCGGGCCAATTATGGAACCAATATTGACACATCGGTAATGTGTTGATCATATCCGCTGTTACATTAAATCCAGTCTGTGCACCGTGAGCAATTATTTTTGTTGTTTGTTTTGTTAATAAACACACACTTCCAACCTTTAAAGGCACACCGCGGACTTTGTGACCTAAAGAGTTGACACATATGAGTTATTTTATATGAATACTTGGGCCAATATACAGCGCTTGACACTTGCAATGCTCCGAGCGGGGCTGCCCTCTTGAAATACCGCCCATGTAAGTTTCGAGCAGACGGACCGTCTGCCACCAGGTCACGTGACTTGGAAGAAAGACTTGCTTTACGGCTACAGGCGCTGATATACTCATGGAGCTAAGGCTTTTGCTACTCATTTTTCACCTGCTCGACTCCTGGTCATGGCTGAGGCAAGGAAAAATTTTAAACCTTCGGAGGAGGCTAAAAAGAGGAAACGCGAAAGGGATCGTGCTGTAAGCTGCATGTCTGTATGAGCGCTGCTCTTCACCTGGTTCCTGGATGTCATCGACTGCAAAGATGTCATTCCACGCAGCACGAGCTAGACGCAGAACTCCCTCATCCAGGATATAGAAGTCCATGTGTGGTAGATTACTAATGCAGCGGTCTGGAGGCTGACCACAGCAGAGTCTCTCAATATCTGTAGGCATGTCTCTACAGTTTGAACACACACACCAGTGCATGCTGTCTGAATACACACTCAAAAGACACCGGCTGACTGTTTGTTGACTTTTGCGACAGTGCTGAGTTGCTTGTGGCCACTAGGGGCGCTAAACGTGAAAGTTGCAGGTCTAGCGCCCCTAGTGGCCAAGAGTTACACGGTGTGCCTTTAAACAAAGTAAAATGTTGACGTTTATATTATTGGAGTAGGGATTCGCACATCAATACCTACAGATCTGGTGCATAGGAGGAGAGGCCTGTATAGCCTAATGTCAGAGAGAGAATAATCCCGCACACCATCTTACTTGCAAATGAAAAACTTTTTAATTTGCAAGTAAGACGGTGTGGGGGATTATTCTCTCTCTGATGTGTTATATTATTAAAAGTGTAGCAAATTTACTAATTTACTTTTCTATTAATACAGTATTGTCTCTAATATAACGGTTGTCGGCCTCCGTAACTGTTGATATAGGTCCTAAAATTCCCATGTTGTAAAGTTCCTTTTTGAATTGTTAAGAGAGAGTGACATTTTTTGAAGATACCGCCCGTGATCACCCCTGCCCCTTCCTGATAGGTCCAAATTAATTCAAATCCTTGAGGCCCCCTCATTACTTTAACTATTTTCCTCCAGAAAATTTTATTGTTCATGGTTATGCCGAAGGGATTTGAAATATTATTGTTCAAAAAAACGTATTATACATGCTAGTACAGTGCCCCATGGACAGAAATAAACAATTACGTTTTTTTGATGGAATACAACTTTGTGACATCCCCTTTAATAAGTATACTTAATATAATGGCGGTGTCTGTATTGTGAAGAATACATGCCCCGCTGCATGGGGCAAACCGAGGACCAGAAGAGTAAGCCCTACAGGGGTTCCATGGCCTTTTTTCGGCTCATTGCTCTTTGTCTGGTTTTAGGAACTATGTTTTAAGGTGCCACCATGTACTGTATGGCATGAAATGTAATTATAGGTCTTCAGGTAATTTATCTTAAACTTTAAAACCACAAAAATTAAATCCATGTAGCAAGTCCCTTGCTCTCAAAAGAA